CCCCCCCCCCACCCAATGGGGCCGGTGCACCCCCCGACGGCCAATACCGATGCTGTCAGTAGGGCCACTGCCGTCGGTAGCTTCTGCGGGTGCCCCCCCAGATTCAGGAGGCACCAGTCACTCATGAATGGGTCTAACTATTGATGACTGTTTTGTTTCCTTAAAGCTGTTTCATTCTCATATGTTGCAGTTACAAGACCCACCACCCCTTAAAAAAAAAGAGTGATTTTTATTGACAACAACGTGTACGAACTCTCTTCTCTTCAGTCACCCATGATGGTTTCTTACTACTTTTGTGTGTGTGAATAAAACTGCACTAAAGGGGAGGTTCCAGTAAATAAAATATATATTTTTGTATTAGAAAACAGAAAATATTAATATCATCAGCACTGCTCTGAATATGATCAGAACTATTCAACTCTTTAAAGAAAACCCAAAACTTTAAGCCAAAGTTTCTTCTTTCCATCATCTGATCAAGATCTGGACTTCTAGTGCAGGAATATCTGAGTTTGCAAAAATTGTTATGCTACACATAAATCATACATACAGTAAAACAAGAGTAGTGTAGATTGAGAATGTAAGTGGGGAACAAAACAAGTAGGAACAAAAATCTCCCTGACACAGCATTATGGTTATTTCCTTGGGTAGCTGCATTCAAACTGCACTGAAAGAAAACCAGCTGATTCTAGATGCATAAAGCAGCACAATTGCAGCATATCAAAGGGCTAAATATAGCCCACAGTTGTATCCTAATTGCCATCTGGCCTGGGCAGACAAGAATATATACTGACCAAGTTAGGCTGTGAACTACAAAGGAAAAGAAAAATAAAACAAAAAACCTCTCCCCTCCACACTGCCCCCAGTCAGAGCTTTTGAGAGTTTTAAAAAGCCTGGATTTCATTTAAAAAGAGTTATTGTCTGCAGTTGTTTCTCTTCTTTCTGTTTCTGTTTAATATGGTATTACCAGCTCCATGGACACAGGGATGATCAGATAAAAACATCCAAACTTCTTTATTTATTCTTCCAGACTTCACTGTTGACCCAGGGTCTTGTTATGATGCCTGGGTATAGCAAGTCAGTGGAATGACATGTCAGTAAAAAAAAAAAAAAAAAAAATAGCAAGAGAGCCAGGTCTTTTTCTTAAGGAGCAACTAGCTTCACTTTGTCTTGCTTTACATCTTGTTAGCTACACCTGTACTAAATAATGCAAATGAGGTCTAAGATGTTATCAGTGGCACAGCTGTAATAAGTGTGAGTGTACAGCAGGGAAGAATCAGCCCCAATACTTTCAGCAAGACATTAAAACAAATGACTGGAGATGTTCGCATGGTAAATCGAATTCCCTAAGTTGGCTATTAATTCACAACAATAACCTAGTGAACAGAGACCAGTTTTTCAGACTTGTGTCTCAGCAGCAGACTTCTTTCATATCCCTTTTCCAATCACTTATGCCAGTGAAAGGTGCAGAGGTGGTCAGCTATGTTAGTCTGAAGTCAGGGAGGGTGTAGGGAAGGGTAGCCCCTTTGAGATTAACTAGATCAGACGGTCACAATCTTTCTGTATATACAAAACTGAGAGGAAAGAAAGGCTGAATTTATTCTCTTGTTCAGAGGAACAGACAGTGTTTCTGCCCTCTGTCCAGGGTCATTTTGTTGCTGGAAATGTTGACGCACATGAGATACCCAGTTTCTTCTTTCTTGTACGTGTTGAAGGTTTCATAACATTATTTGAGAGGCCAGAGGTTATAGCCCTAAAAGTTCTGGCCAGGTTCCAAATGGATTTTATTATTATTATTGTTGTTGTTGTTATTATTATTATTGTTATTATTATTTTACTTTTATTTTTGTTTGAAAGTGCTGAATCAGCTGGGTTTAGCAAACCTTTGATAGATTTGTGAACTTAACGATAACCAAACTATGGAATAACCATTGCTACCCCATAATGCAGTCTGTGGAGTGTTTTTGTAATCTTTCACGGGGAAAAGATATAGAAAAATGCTGTTTCTGATAAACATGGTGACATTCTGTTCTGTTCTCAAGGACATAAATGTACTCCTTGCCCTGAAAACTGGCTACAGCATGGAGAGAATTGTTACTACTATTTTGCTGAATGGAAAACTTGGCAAGAAAGTGAAGCTCTTTGCTCTTCTCTGGATTCTAGATTCCTTAAGATAGAGAGTAAGAAAGAGCTGGTAAAGATTTATTTTTAATTTCTCTTATCATTTGGTGTATAATTTGTATTGTTCATCTAAGGCAGAAATCCTGAATGGTGCTTGATGCGTAAGAACAACCAGCCAGATCTTCAGATGAATTAAATCAAGGTCCTTCTTTCTTAGTCTGATTGCCTGTCTTAGGACTTAATTGAATTTGAAGACTAAGATGTTTGGTTTGTTATTCTGTCTCTTGTCCCATGAGACCCAAATGTCTGCCCATCTCCTTTCCTGACTCCTACAATATTGTGCAGGCAAATCTTTCTTTAAATGACTGAATAGGTAAACTGAAATGTCCTCTCAGATCTCATGAGCAATTACTTTAAACTCTGAAGCTTATGATTTTCTGTGTATTATTCTTATTTTGACTTTCATTACTGTAAAAATACCATGTGCTGCTCATTTAGGGCCTTGGTACATGCCACAAAATTGGCTTTTAAAGTGGCTTAAATGCCTTTTTGCACTGCTTTAATGGTGTTGCTGTTTGCATGCTCTGCACCATATGCCACTTTTAAATGACTTTGGTATGTAGCAAGATAAAACACCTCCGAGGTGTTTTAGTTTGCTACCTAACAAACTGCAACAGTGCACAGGGTGCTGGAAGCTGACGTGCTCAGGGCTTGGTGGGCCCCCGCACAGCTCAGGGACTGTGGGACCCGGCAGAAGCCTGTGCAGGCAGGCTCTACTGAAGGAAAAAAGAAAGTGGCAAGCCTGATCTTTTTTCTTTTTTTCCTCCCTGGAGCCTGCCTGCCTTAGCTGTGCGGGGGCCCAGTACTTCCCTCCAGCAGCTCGCCCCACCTCCCTCTCCTCCTGCCGCTGAAGAGGCAGGTAAGAATCAGGCCACTACCCTTGTATACACACCACAGGGGTTTCATTTGGTTTAATTCTCCCTAAATTGAAACAGTGTTTTTAAAAACCCACCATTTCAATTTAGGGAGAACTAAACTGAATTAAACCCCCATGGCGTGTCCACACAGCCTTAAAGAGCTAAAACCTTTCAGTTCCCCCTCTGATGGTGTGTCCTTATTAGTAGAAATGTGCATCCCCTGGGGACAAATAGCCACGGTACATATTTGTGCTGCTAGTTGTCCCCAGGCAATGTCCCTGCATGTGTGCTCTGGCATGCAGCAAGTTGACCTGGGTGGGGTAGAAGAGGCTGGAGCCAGCACCTGGATGACCCCAGCTGCCCTGCCTGGGGTCCTAGGGCCCACCCAGGGCTCCAGAAGTAGTGATCTGGGTGCAGGGACCCTGGCTGGCAGCCAGAACTTGGCTCTGGCCAGCAAGGCTCCAGTTTCAGGTGGGACATGCTGCCACCATATGCACCACCCCACTTTTATCTGGCAGGTTGTTGTTTTTTGACACCAGGATCTCCTGGTGTCAAAAAACCTGCCATGCTGCACATTAGCAGCACAGCAAATGCCTACATGTGCAGTATGTGTAGTTTGCAGCACTGCAGATAGGTCTATGGTGCTGCAAACTGCATGTGTATGTTTCTGTGGGCATGCCCTGAGCAGTGGATTTTGAGGGAGAGAATTTCTTCCAGACCTATTAGCCAATTCTATGAAGCACTGATCAACCTCAGTTCCTCCCAATGTACCCAACAGCAGTTGATGACACTCAGCATCTCATTCTTTTTGGCCTATAAAATCTTAATAATTACCAGGACTCAGAAGAATTATCTAGGTTTCCTTGTAAAACAAAATGTGTTATAAGTGGCAGATACCAGAGCCTCTTTTTCTGTTTCTAGCTCTCTCTCCCCCTCTCTAACTCTGAGCAGCTTTCAAGTCATGATGAGATTCAAAACTCTGCTAATCTCTTTCCATGCAGGATTTTGTAATGAAATCAGCACAGTTATACAGTTCCTATTCTTTCTGGATTGGTTTATCTCGTAATGGAGCTGGCCAACCATGGTTATGGGAGGATGGCACACCTTTTTCCAGTGACCTGTAAGTCTGTACTACATCTAAAAAGAATGGAGTTTTGGGCATATGTATTACATAAACTGTAATTTGAGGTACAAAGCAAAAAAGTGATACTATATCAAGAAATCACCCGCTCATCCAACTGATCCCACCCTCCTTTTGTTAGCTCATGTACTCATGTATTACTTGCGTACCTGACAAATACAGATGGATAGTTGTCTGACAGCTGACTTACCTGTTATTTAAGGTGGTGGCAGGGTTGGAATTAATAATGCTGATTTGTGATTTTTACAACCGGAATTGGGCTGCAGCTGGATGGAAACTCTGATTTTCTGTTCTAGATTTCGCATCCCAGAAGCCAGTTCCAGTTCTTCCCTGGTCTGTGTGTGGATTCAAGGTACAAATGTCAACACTGCAGAATGTAGTGATTACAAGTTTTGCATTTGTGAGAAGATGGTAAACCCACCAGGGATTGGGCAAAAAGGCTAATCAGACCAATGGCAGGGCACAATACTCTATAAGGAAATGCATGCTGGGTTCTGCGATACTGAAACTAGTTCTGCCTAGTGATTTCTGACAAAGGCAGATCCCATTTCTAGTCTTCATGATTGTGGAAAAATGCTTGAAAATGTGACCAGAGTAGAACCCAGAAGCTCAAAATCCAGAAGGGAACTACAAACATCCAAAATTTATTTACTTTCCAGCATTTTAATTCTCCAGATTTTCATGCCTGGTGTTGGCAATACTGGGCAGTAATAGGAAACTGTGTTACATCTGGTGGCTATCAAAGAAACAGTGTCAGGGTATAGCACACTATCCATTCTGTCTGTTTGCTCTGGGTAATTGTTTTCCTAAATTCTGTTGTCCAGCCTGTATACTGTGAATTTTACAACCTGTATAAATACTGTTGGTAACAATAATTTGTGTGGTATATCCTTCCTCCTGATCCTCTGTTCCTGAGGACCTCAAACTTCAGAGCTTTGTAAGCTGGCTGTGAAAAGCCATAACGCCATAAGCTCCCTATATGTGGTGTCCTTATACTTGCATCTCTCTGGGAGGCTGAATGGGCAGCAGGGATACAAAGTCTTGGAAGTCTTGTTTCCATAGCACCAATCAACTCTAAAGCTGTTAGGAAAGAATGAGGCCCTGTCAGCAGGAAAACTTGCCAGCTTTTCCTGGTCCTGTTAATACCTTTCTGATGCATTTAGTGAATATTAAGCTCTAAAATGAAAGGAAATAGAAAAGGATAAAAGCCATTCTGCTTTTGTAGTACCACAGACATAAAAGACTGCTCATCCTTATAAGTTCTGTCTCACTAGTGTCATTTAGTATTTGAGGCTGTGAAAAAGAGGGTCTTTGTCCTAAAACTAGATCGTTGGTGAAGGGCTGGGCACTGCTTTGAGTTCGCCTAAAAGCAGTAGCTAATGACCCAGGAAAATAGTCATTTTAGGGTGGCTTAAAGACAGGGATTGAACAGACTGAATGCTAACTAGGACTGAACAGTCTTAGTTAAGACAGTAACAATAATAGCACTGAGCACCTTTCAGTATTTAGTAATTTATAGCATTTTCAGTATTTAATAATTTTAGTCGTCTATTTAGTAATCAGCAATCTGGGCCTCAGAAAAACTACAACAACAACAGGGTGCGTGCTGCTTCTTGGTCACACTACTCTAAACCAGCAATACTCCCAATTTTAGCTATAGGTCTTCACCTAGATCTCAGTGGGTGTGTCTACATGTACTATTAATGTACATTAGGCTTACTGCACTGTACAATAACAGCACAGTAAGCCAGCCCGGGGAAGGTATCTACACGCACAGCCTCTTGGAAGCAGATTTTCTCCTTACTCATAGATTCATAGAAGTAGGGTCGGAGGGGACCTTGTAGATCTTCTAGTCTGACCCCCTGCCATAGGCAGGAGAGAAAACTGGGCTCAAATGACCCCAGCTAGGTAAATGTCAAACCTTCTCTTAAAGACCTCCAAGGAAGGAGCCAGCACCACTTCCCTTAGAAGTTGGTTCCAGATCCTAGCCACCCTGACTCCTGATGGGAATAGCCTGCTCCAGGCCTCCTCCTGCCCTGCTCTGCCCCCCTGCAGCAGTCTGGGAGAGCTGGAAGCTCTGGTTGCAGCTGCCTGGGTGCTGGGGCACTCTTTAAAAGGTTACCCCATGTGTCCCAGTGTGCACTGCTTTCAACACTGCCTTCCCACTCAGAGCAGGCAAAGAGCCCAGGTGTCTTGGGTGCTAGCCAGGCTCCTGATCACCATCCCTCTAAAGGCAAGTCAGAGCTGTGCTGGCAAGAAATGGTATTAACCCTTAATGTGCAACTACTCAAAGCATGTTCTAACGTTAGCACCCCTTAAAATTCCACAGATTTAGTATGGTCTAAGTGTAACATGTAAGGGCCTTGTTACACGTTAATTTTAGATGGCTCCTGGAGCGCTGAACCCCTGGATTTTCCACACATTAGTATGTGAAACTAGTTTAAAGCCCTCTTTTGGCAGCTTAAGGTTACGCCACACCTGCCTCCTTTTATCTCTGATCTGTGCTACCTGGCTCATGTTACATTAATGTCTAGCCACTCTAGGCTACACATTAGTGTAAATACCCTAGCCACACCCCCTCTCCCTCCTCTGGCCTTGTTTGGTTCCACTGCCCCATTTTTCTCTCTCCAATCAAGCTTCTGTTCCCTGCCACACCATGGCCCCCAGCCTGGATAAGTCCACTGCTCCCCTGCCACCCCCCTGGAGTGGGGGAAGGGGGAGATTCTTACCTTTTAAGGCCCCTGCTGGCTTGAACATGTGACTGCTCCAAACTAAAGTTAACACTAAAACTGAGCAACATTTGAATAGCTCGAAGTGCAACGTGTAACTTCACCCTAAGAAAAGTGTTGTCTATTTGTATGAGACCACAGAACAGTTGTTGTCTCTTTGCATGGAACCATGGAAAAAACATTGTTTCTTTCTTTCTTTGGCCAGGCAACATGTCTTGTCTTTGCTAAACATTGCAAGTCTCAAAGCAGAATAAACACAATGCAATAATTTGAGAACCAGATTAACTTTTCCCCATGCTTTCTTTTTAAGGCATTCAGAGCTGAAAGACACTATTTATTGTGTTTACCTTACACAGAGCAAAAGCTGTGAATACAAATACTACTGTGACCATTTTACATCACTGTGCAAGTAGTGTATGCTGTCCAAGGTCTACTATAAAAACCAAGGTCCTATTATAAAGTATATCTTTATATGTTATAATGGAATAAAGGTAAAAGTGTGAGTAACTGGATTTAGAAAAAGAGGGTAAAAGATAATAGTGAGGACTGATTATGATAAGAAAAAATATGCAAATTAGAACTGGTTGAAATATTTTGCCCAAAAATCCATTCAATAAAACTTAATCATTTTTTGAAAATGAAATAATAATTGTCAAAGCATTGTAGATTTCCTTGTTTCCATTAATTGTTTTGGTTCAAAAAATTAACAGCCCTTTTTATTTCTTTCTCAGGGTACTGACAGATTTCAGCCTACCAATCTAACTCATGGTGCTTTACATAAAGTGCCATAAGTTAGAGTGAACTCCTTCCCCCAGAGCAGATTTTTGCCTGTTGGGTTGTGGCGGGAAGATTGAGCCTGCCTGCAGGTGAATAGTAAGCCAAGAAGCCACCCCTCTTCTGAGCTCTGCCACTTCCCTCCACCTCCCAGTTCTGGGTATGTGAGCAGAAGGAAGGGAAGGGGGAGGACAGAGGAGGGAGGGTGCAGCCAGCAGCAGTGAGCTACCAGCTGGGTTTTGCCCAGTCTGAGCTGGAGGGTAGATTGGAGCCCCCCTGTTTCACACCCCGCAGCTGGCTGGGGTACTGGGAGGAACTGGGCTGAGCCCATGAAGGGAGGGGCTAGGATCCAACCCGCCTCCTTCAGCTCAGGCTGGGCTCTCTGCTATTGGCCTTCTCCCTCCCTTCTCCCCATCTCTTCCTGCTGACAGCCCTGGTGGCAAAGCTGAACTGCATCATCCCAGCCCTGAAAGCACAAAAAATTAAGCTGAGGGGAAGTAAGTTCCCTAAGGTGCTCTAAAGCAGAACACCTTTATCTGATACCTCATTTGAGGAGGGTTAATTTTTCGTGGGATCAGCCACTTTAGAGGCACCCTACAGCCATTCAGGTGTGTCACAGCATGGTTGTAGAGTGCTTTTAGGGGCCTGATCATGTAAAAACTATAACTTCTGTCTGCATCCTTATTTATTTTTTATTTGTAGGTTGGTTCTAGTTGTTTGTATTGCTGGTTTTGAAGTATTTAAAGAAATAAGTGCAAATATTTGATTTAATAAGTAACATTGTGAATTATTTAAAATACTAAAAATAATAAATATGAATAATAAGAGTGGCACAATGAAAAAAATTAAAAGCTAACAAAATTAAAAGTATCTTTGCAAAGTTCTTAATTTTCAATAGTCAGACAAGGGTCTTTGGGTAAATGTCATATCTTTTATTAGCCTAATTAAATAGTTGGAAAAAATGTTCTTTGCAAGCTTTCAGGTAGAAACACCCTTCTTCAGTTTTCAATACTCACTTCTAGCTAATTTTTTAGCGCATTCAAATAGTGCACCCAGGAGCAAAAAACTCTGGACCAATATGCTCCAGAGTTTATTTGTGCGCATTACTTGCATGTGTAGATGCACCCTTTGAGCAGAATTCTATGTCATCTTGTAGATGATCAAAGTACAACTTGTGACCATCTCTGAGTTATCCAACTATTGTGCAAAAGTGATTCTGTTACTCTCTCTGGCTGTGGCCACATGAGTGCAGATGTTTGTTTCCCCAGGGATAAGAAGCAGCAGCACACCTAGTGCCCTGCTATTTGTCTCTGGGGACCACCCATGCCATGTGCCCTCTGGCACGTGGCAGGTTACCCTGGATGGGATAGGGGATGCTGGGGCTAGCAACTGTGCTGGAACCAGCAGCCTTACCTGGGGTCCTGGGAGCCTCCTGGGGCTGCAGCCATGGAGCTCTTGCAGCTGGGAGCCTGGCTGGAAGCTGGACCGTGGCTTCAGCAGTCCAGGCTCTGATTTTGGGCAGCACGTGCTGCTGCCATGTATGCTGCCCTGCTTTTTTTCCACTCAGGTTTTTTGACCCTGGGATCTCCTGGAGTCAACCCCTCTCCTCTCCCAACCCTGCCCTGCATTACAAGATAATAGCACAGGGAATGCCTGAATGTGTGATGTGTGGTGCCATAAACAGGTGTGCAGTGCCATACACCGCATGGCTGCTGCTGTCATCTGGAAGCAGCAACTGGATGCATAGGTTCCCCAATTATAGGAATTGAATTCCCTTTACACATGTGCAGATGTCTCCTTGTTCCTGACTGACCTGATTTCCTTCTATGATAAGGTGACAGGCTCCATGGATAGGAGATGAGTGGTGGATATGATATCCTGGACATGTCTATATGTGTCTGTATGGCAAGTGCTACCTTTTGGAAGTACTAAAAGACAGTGTTGTAACAGCTCATACTACGCCATATTGGTGGCACATGGTCATTTTTGGCTACATCAAATACAAAAACTAGAAGCTGATCAGAAACCTCTCTGTGCACCATTAGATCTGAAAAGCTCCAATGCTAGGAACTGCATTTGCAAGTACAACTTGTGAGAAAATCTCAGTAAGTGCCACAAGATGGAAATGATACTGAGAGAGCACACACAGATGAGTAAATGTAATTGGCACCAACTCAAATACTGTCTGCTTAAGAGGTGGCTGGAGAAATTATATATCTGCTTGGGGTTCCCAAAGGAGGTGGCTGAATATCTAAGCTTTCAGCAGAGCCTTGTCCCTGATCTCTCTCCCTCCCCACAGCCACAGCACACACCAATCGCTCTCTTTCTCTCTCTGTCCTCCCTGTCCAAACCCTCCCTGCAGCTTTAGCACACACTGATCTGCCTCACTCTCTCCTCCCCACCGAACTGGCCCTGCAGCTATAGCATGCTCCTATCTACAGTGTCCCAGCCCTGTCTGCCCTTACATCAGCTTGTGCACCAGAGGTAATGCCGGGCAGGTGCTGGCATTAGCTGTGGGTTCTGCTGTCAAGTTCCTGGTGGAGATTGAGGTGACTCCACTGATGCAGTGGCATCAGCTGTGGACCCAAGCGGATGCCCAGATCCCCACACAGATCCCGCAGGCTGCACCAGCCCTGTGCTGCTTCCGACATGCAGGGCAGGAGCTGTTGTAAGCTGCAGATGGGGCTAGGATGCATGATCCAGCAGCCAGAGCCACCGGCTCCCCATGGGGCAGATTACATGACTTTGTGGCCACCCACTGGTGGGCCAGATACAATCACTTGGCAGGTCAGATCCAGCTTACAGGACATATTTTGCCCACCCCTGGCCTACAGACAGGTCAGGTCCTTCTCCCTCCTTTGGGAGATCAAGCTGGTGCTTGGGCAAGCATTTTTATACTTTTACATTAGCAAGATTATTCATTATTCCATACCTCCACTGTAAGGTATGGCTATAATATTTGTGGAAGGCCAGGGGTGAGAAAAGAATTATCTTACTGAAATATTCCCAA